CTTTCCCTATCTGAGGATGTGTGACTCTTCAGGTAATGTTTTCAGTGGTGTGAAAGCCTAGAGTTGTATTAGGAATGCTAGCTTATCTTGATGACGCGATAATACTGATTTATCATTTCTGGAGAAAAGTGAGAGCCCTGTAGCATATAGTACTCTCTGGTTTGTCATCTACAATGACCCTTTTTGTAGAGGAACCCAATTTTCTTCATGCATATGAAGAACTGAGGGTAGAGGGAAGCAGATGGAGACCTTAGGCCATAGCAGGTTGGTTTGCTCAAGTCTGACCCAAGACGTTTGGATACTATCCCTGCTTTTTTAATACATAAAAAATCTCTGCACTTTGGGTAGATGACTAGATTGTTGTAGATGCTGGACAAAGATTGTATTTCCAATGTCCCCTTAGGAATTACAATCCTTTTTCTATGGCATGAGATTATACTTTGGTGTTGGCATAAACTAGAGAACCAAATGTTTCTACTCATGATAGATGATTTAGCAAAATGATAAGCTAAGTGAAATAAGAACTGGACAAATGAGGCAAATCAGAAGAGAAAGTAGGAGGGGAATTCTAAGCAATTTGGGTAACGAAGTTAGACCTACACTGTCCACACAAAAATGATCCCTCCTGTGTAATTGCTTGCTTGCTGGGTAAGCAGTGGGAGAACCTGTTCCAGGAATGATTAATGTACTGAGGACTGGAGCTACAGTGGGCACGGGTGGTCACAGAAGTGGGATGACCCTTGTTGGGGGTATAGCTGGTCTCTGCAGGGTTGGGATGCGTCATGTAGGTTCTTGAAACAAACTGGAATGTGTAGGAAATACAGTGAGTCAACCTGGCATAACTGAAGAGAAATGTTAGTTGGTCAGGGCAAGAGAGTTCAAGCTCTAGGTAGGAACTAAATGCAGTTGGAATGCAGGTGGTTCTTTTATAGGGTTAATATTACTTCTGTTAGCTCTCTCCCCAAATACAGGTGAATGTGAAAATTTGGAAGCGAGTCAGGAACAAGCCTTTTCTGACAGGTATGACAAGTGGCTGTGCAGCATATACTGACCCTCAGGCAGAGGGATTGAGATCTAAAAAAGTTCCTTAAGTCACTGCTTTCTGCAGAGTGCAGAGAACAGGGCGTCACAGACGTCATTCCGACAGAATCATCCATCACCAGCAGCTCCTTGCAGGCAAAAATATCCCAGGCTGCCCTCACAGGAGCCCTGTGATGCTGTGCTATTAGAAGCCAAGTGGCATCTGTGCCCTGGATGTTCCAAGCACGTGCTGGTAAGAGGACTTTCGTGTTGGTGAGTACTTTGAGATAATCAGTGTACAGGTACTATGTGTAGGGCTCTAGCTCAGCCATGTTTCAAACGTGCTATTTTGTCCTGCTACTGCTGTAATTATAATAAATACACAGGAAAACTTTGTGTCATAGGTGTGTTTTCCTAGACAAAACCAGCCCCTGCTGTAAGCTCAAATATGTGAGCGCAGACCCAAGCAATGCCACTGAGTGACCCTTGTAAAGCTACATAGCGATCGCTGGCTCTGTC